TATTTATTTATCTTATTTTTTTTTATTTTATATTTTTTTTTTGTTATATTTTTATATATATATTTATATAATTATTTTTTTTTTTTTTTTTTTTTTTTTTTTTAATGAGAGGCTTTAAAAGCCTGAATTAATTTCTGAAAAATCCACAGTAATTTAACAAGTAGTTCAATTTGCACCAAAGTCCTGAAAATGACCTGTCACTTTATCAGATACAACCTTCTCTACTCCAGATGAAGATGATGATGATGGCAGTTTTTGTTGTTCTGTCTGTCGGGTTCACTTTGACTCGTTTGTCTGACAAAGGTTTAAATATGTTCAATGTCCTGTGAGATGTAAAAAAAATATGAAAAGTACTGGCAAACTTAGCTTCCTAAAAACTTTAAACTTTTATTAGAAGAAATAAAAACTTTGAGACCAAAAGTTCTGGGATTTTGTCCTTTCTTGGACAAGTTTAACTAAAAACCATTATTCTCATTAGTTCAGCAATAAAACATCAGTCAGCCCTTTTATTAAGAAGAAAACATTCAGCTTCGAAACATGGCATACAAATAAATAAAAAATCTAGAAAGAAGATTAAAATTTGTCATATCGTTTAATTTATTTAAATATATTTATCTAAAAATACCATTTTGATGACAGTTTGTTCATTAGTGTTCAGTGAAGTTTACTTCAAATTCCTTTAAAACAGCTGTTGACACAACTTCCAATGCGTTGCACATAAAATAAAAATACATAAATACAGATCAACTTTTAAGAACCAGATCTTCTTAAATGAAATAATCTCATAGGTTTAAATCCTGAGAGGCTTCAATTTGTTTATTTGCTTTGTTCATCAAATGTTACACAAATAAACAAAAGCAAATATGAACAATTTTGCATCAAGTTTGTGTGGGTGCTGCACGAGGCGAGGCAACTGCTGAGCACCACAAAAACCACTCGTCCCACGGTTTGAGGTGGGGCTCCACAGATGGTGTTCCCAGGTTTGTTTTGTAGCGTGTGTGTGTCTGTGTGTGTGCGTGCATGTGGCTGTTTTTCTGTTGAGAAGGCAATATGTCACTGTCAGCTGAGAGCGGCTCGTGCCAACTGGCAGGGAAAGAGATGATATTTAAAGATGGCAACAAAACAAGATGGAGAGGGCAGAGGAGTCATGGAGGACAAGATTATGGTGATAAAAATGGCATAAAAAGAAGAAACAGGTGAAAAATCTCTAGAGTTTGAAAAAAAAAAGGATCATGGAAGCAATGAAACAAAAATGATGTGAGACCTCAGATTTGTGCATACGGATTTAAGGAGGAAGACAAGAAGAGATTGAGAAAAGGCAAGAAAGAATAAAGAAGAAAAAAATGGTGGTCAAAATGTATAAGATTGTATAAAGTCCAAAAATGTTAGAAGCAACAGATTTTCTCTAAAATTGTTTGAACTTGCTAAAAGAAGCTCCTAGAAATGTTAGAGTCTCCTGATCCCTAAAACGCTCCAGTTTTTAAGGCAATGGCCGCTTAAAGAAGCAACCATTGATCCTGTGGACTGTGGGCTGAACGCTGAACTGACGAAGATGATTAGCTAATAAAGCTCGTTAAGAAACACACACTGAAGAACCAACATGTAGTGCCTGCTCAAATGTATTAATGTGCCAAGGTAACGCCGAGCAGGAGACGTTAGAGAAAGTGTGCTTGCAGAGAAAGACCTTGGCCCAAAAACTGTAAAAAGACCTTGTAACACACTTACAGTATGTCACAGATACAGTTTATACAGAAAGGCTGTGTGGAGCCAAGTACTGCAGAACGATATTTGCAAAAACATGGAAAATAACTAAATCTGCAAAAGTAAATAAATAATATATATATTTTTTGTTGCATTTATTTGTTCACCTTCACTCAGTTCAAATGTTTGTTATGTGCATAGTATAAAGTGACAATTATCTCAGACTGGCCAAAAAGAAACAGTGCATGATTTTCATGTTGACAACGTTTCACGGTTAACCATAATATTTTATAATCACAATCGAATTTGTGCTTAAACTTTTACTTCTTTGGAACTTACCAAATAAATAGCATTAAACTGGGTATAAAACGTTGTTGTAAAAAAAAACAAAAAAAACCATTTACAGTAGTACATCGCTACTTCGCAATTTGTTTTTCGCAGACTCGCTCTATTGCGGTTTTTCAAAGTAAGATTGGATATGACGCACACTTGTCTTTTTGATGGATGACCCGCACGATTGGCATGGATTTTTAAAATTTAAAATAAATAGGCTGCTTCCTCCAGCAGCTGATCAGGAGGATCAGATCTTTTCTGCTCTGCACAGAGATCAGCTGATCAGCAGAGCCGAGAAGTGGGCGTGGCTGAGAGAGCAGCGGAGGCAAGAGCTGAAATCATGACTGTGCTCTTTTAGAGCATTTAGAGTTTAAAAACATTGTTTAGATAATTGCAAGAGTGTGGGGACGGTTTAAAATGCCTTTATATATATATATATATATATATATGTATATGTGTGTACTAAAATAAACTACTACTTACTACTTGTACTACTATTCCTACATGGTGGTTTTTGACTTATCGCGGGGCTTCAGGTTACAGATCACCCGCAATAAACGAGGGACTACTGTATAGAAGATGGAAAACAAAGTTCTACGTTGAAATGTTTTTCACCTCAAAAAGCAAGTTCAAGGATGTCATGTCTAATAAAAGCTTCTCATGCATGTACATGGTGGTTTGATGGATGGATGGATCAGTGAAGTCTGTTAAATGGTAAACTGGACTGCAGAGATTCAACCTTCAACAGCACAATTAACAATAATACGCGCTACTCTGCCAACAGCATTCCAATAGTAACTAATGTAAAAGGTTTGGCAAAAGCATAAAACATGTGTTCTCTTACTTATGAAGTAAACTTATTTATCACACCGATACTTTTAAACTAAAGCAGGGTATTTATGTTGGTTTTGGTCAAACGGATGATGTGCAGAGTTTGTGATTGGAGCCAAAGATTGTATCAATCCCTAAAATGTTGTAGAATAAACTTATGATTGAACTTATGATTGAACTTATGATTGAAGTTGTGATTGAAGTTGTGATTGAAGTTGTGATTGTAGTGTGGACAGAAACCCAAATCAGTGTCCTCCAACTGTTTTTTGTTCAAACATATGTATAATTATTAGTAGACAAAATATGATAACAGTGACTAGAAACATGCCAAACGTATTTTTTAATACGATTTTCTTTAATTTATTCTTCTTAATTTATATACTTTCTTCCATGATTGCCTACTGTTGTCATCATTCTTTGTTAAAAATCAGGTCTCTCTTGTAAACGAGTCCCCGACACTCAGTGAAACCAGCGTGTATGAATAAAGGTGGAATGAATAAACCACCAGATCTGTGAACACAGATCAGGATCAAAATAATGACTGTAAGCCTTCATCTGAAAAATTATACTTTCATAAGAGACATTTTGACTGTATATTTCAAATCATGGGATTTTTTTTTATTTTTTTTTTTAAATCCACGAGTTCAAACTTTTTCTTGTAAATGATCGGATATTGTCTGGGTGGAAATGTTTTGGTTGTGGATTTCTGTCTTTTCAGTGATTCTCTTCCTTCTATTCTGCTCCTGTCATCCCTGTCTTTAATCCTAATCCCTCCCAGGTGTTTGCCTTTCTTCCTCATCAGTGTCTCTTCGTCCTTGCTTCTTGTCAGTTGTCTGTGGATTGTCCATTAAAGGTTTTCATGTCCTCTGTGTCTCATCTACTCTTTCAAAGTAAATTTGCTGCTCCGCCAGCAATTTGGTTCCTTTATTTAAAATAAACTGGTATATTACTTTTACCTTGTGGAGTTCCTTGTTGCCTTCCTGCACGTGGGTTCAACACTTTAGGCAGGTCATCATATTAGTTTTGCATTTTTTTTTTTTTTAAATAAAAAAGCGAGAAGATATAAAAAATAAAAGTTAAGTGTTCCTTTTAGTCAAATAGGAGCTTAAGCAAATCTCGACCTACGACTGAACTCTTGTGGTGACAGAAACACAAACCAGTGTCCTGCACCTGAAGCTGCTCCCTGCACCTCAGTCTGAACGCGCTCAGGGTCATTTTCCATAACATGGTTCCATAAACTGTGAAACACGGTGCTCACATTGCTTAATGACGTCACTGGAGCACATTTCAATTAGCTTTACATCTTTTGAAGTAGATACAATAAAAGATGGTTCACTTGTTCACTTGAATAGTTGTAGTGTAAGGACAAAGACAGGGCAGCAGGAAGTGCTGCAGTGTGTTGGAATATGTTCATGGGTTCCCCAAGAACAAACCAAGTTATTTTTATCATGTTTACCTCACTGCTGGTCTCTCCTCAACCCCCCCCCATAGTGACACCATAACATCATCCTCAAACACTCCTCCTCCTCCCCACCTTCCTCTCTCCTTTCTCTCCCACAGGAGAGGATTGTCTCCCCCCCCCCACACTCCTTCGGGACTGAGAACTAACAGCGAGCTGCTGCACAGCGCACTGACCACCGCGCGCCTCGTCCGTGCACCAACAGCAGCTGGAGCAGCCGCGCACAACACAGCGCACATCTGTCCAACACTCTCTCTTAGAAAACCTCTCTGCCTCTTTATTTGAGAAGGACCAAGGAGGCAACTGATGCCCACACGCAGAGCATCACGCCTCCCTGCAGCTCAAGTCCTGACAAGCAAAGACCCCGCGAGAAAGTGCGCGCGGTGTCACAACTGATGCCACAGTGGAGGGTGGTCGGCAACATTTTTAAAATATGTATGAATATTAATGGTAAAATGATCAATAAAGCCAGGAGGTTCTTACCCTGCAGAGTAAAACAGCTGGAGGTGCTGTGCGCACTGACAGAATGCCAAAACAAACAAAAAAAGGCAAATCAGCTGATTGTTTCCCTAAAAACCGCTGTGCTCTGTGTCAGTCTCGTGCTCCCCCTCTTTCTGCTCCTCCTCTGTCACTCCTCTCCTCCTTTACTCCGCTGCTCTTTCAGCACTGCGGAGAATCGCCTGAATTGGCTCCGCTGTAGTTTGGTTTGGAGGAGGTGGGACCGCCGTGTCTGCGCGCGCGCGTGCAAAGTGGAGGGATGGTGGGGGAAGTTGAGGGGTGGGGTACCAGGGATGTAGGCTTGCGGGAGAAAGAGGCTCACGCGCACATGGTGTCGGAGCACGCTGGCTGGAATCGAGGCCACATCACGCAGACTGACAGCATGACTGATGCAGAGACTGTTACTGACGTGTGTCATTAATGAACAACGCACACAGACACGCACGTGTGATGTGACTGAGCCTCACTCGTTGCTACAGAACATAGCAGGAAAATGATTGACAGGGCAGGGGCGTGACTATGGGTGGGCCTGAAGGGGCCAACACCCACCCAACCAAAACGCTTTCTTTTTGTTTCTTTTATTTTTGGCATTTAATTATTTAAACACAATTTTTAAATGAATTAAACATCCATCCATTATCTTTTACATGCGTCTTCCATTTTGGGTCATGGGGGTCGCTGGTGCCCATGTCCGGCAATCATTGTGCGAGGGGCGGGGTACACCCTGGACAAGTTGCAAGTCCATCACAGGGACACTTAGAGACAAACAACCATTCACTCTCTCATTCACACCTAGGGACAATTTAGAGTTACCAATCAGCCTAACATGCATGTTTTTGGGGAAACCGGAGTACCAGAAGAAGAAAACTCACGCATGCACAGAGAGAACATGCAAACCCCACCCAGAAAGGCCCCTGGACTGGGATTTGAACCAGGGACCTGCACGCTGAGAGGCAGAAGCTCTACCAGTTGAGCCACCGTGCTGCCCATTAATTAAACAATTTGACTAAATAATTAAAATAGTTTGTTATGTTGTCAGGGTCAAATTATTATTAAAGATCTTTTCAGTTTCCATTTATTTTACAAGTTGTGTCAGATGTGGTGACCAACCCACTTCCAGTCACGTGGAAGCTCCTGTCAGACTTTGCCTCTCAACAAGGATCTACATGCATCTTTGGTTAGATGCAAGGAAGTGAAAATATATGATTTATTCTAAAACTCTTTTTTTTTGTTCATCAAACCATCAAAGTCCAACCCTAAAGGTGTCATGATCAGCGGCCCCGGAATTTTGAGATCATTTCAATAAACAAAATAAAACTGTAAAAATAGATCGGTCGAGACGTTCAGTTTTCCAGGAGAAGCTCGGAGTAGAGCTGCTGCTCCTCCACACCAAGAGGAGCCAGTTGAGGCGGTTCGGACATCTGGTAAGGATGCTCCCTGTGCACCTCCCTGGGGAGGTGCTTCAGGCATGTCCGAATGGGAGGAGACCCCTGGGAAGACACAGGACACACTGGAGAGACTATGTCTCTCTGTTGGCATGGGAATACCTTAGAATCTTCCCAGAAGAACTGGAAGAGGTGGCTGTGGAAAGAGATGTCTGGACCTCCCTGCTCAAGCTACTGCACCCGCTACCCGATTTCAGAACAAGTGGAAGATAACTGATGGATGGATGGATGAAAGGCTGGATGAAATGTGTTTGTAGGATGGAGTGGAACAAAGCTTCTGGAGTTACTTGCAACTAAAAGATGGAAGCAAAGACCAAGAAAAAGCTTTACAAGACAGTGGTGAGACCAGCTGCAGGATGTTGTATGGGCTGGAGACAGTGGCATTGACAAAAAGACAGGAGGATTAACTGGACGTAGCAGAAACCAAGATGTTGATGTTCTCCTTTGGAGTGACAATATTATCAGAGGTGCAGCACAGGTTGAACAGCTGGGAGATAAAATTAGAGAGGGCAGACTGAGATGGTCTGGACATGCCCAGAGGAGGGGCAGTGGGTATATTGGTAGAAGGATGTTAGAAATGCAGCTGCCAGGAAAAAAAAAAGACAATGAGGAGACATATGGATGCAGTTTTAGAGAGGACATGGAGGTAAGTGGAGTGAGGACAGAGGATGTAAAAGACAGAGTGAGATGGAGGAGGATGACTCGCTGTGGAAACCCATGAAGAGGGACAAGCTGAAAGCACAATAATAGGATCATTATGTCCTTATGTGTTTGATTTAATTGCAATTTTTGCATACTTTAATCAAAGATAGCTGGGACCACAAGGTACTGTCATCAGTAAGCTGTTGGTCAGATGCTGAAAAGTCTGGGAATCGCTTTTTTAGTTTACAATTTTCATAATATAAATGTTGTTTTTTCCCTTCAGCTTGTAACTCTGGTTAACATGTTCGTTGTGTTCCTTGTGCCTTAGCTCTTTGCCTTCTTCTTTCATGGGTAAAACAATTGGGACAGAATTTCCTCCTGATGTAAAGTTGCATAATGTAAGAGCAATAACAAGTCGTAAGGGCCATAAGGGAATGTGGACTTATAGTTTATAACATCAAATAATAAATACTGATAGTTGTGAGGGGCAAATGCAATACTTTAAATGTCAATGATCAGAAACCTTTGTTCCAGAGTTTTGATGGTGTTGTTCATTAAAACAGGGGAAAAGCATTAGACATAGGTAAATGTGGACTGAATAATCTTTGTTGGAGTAAATTGTGATTAAACATTCTAAGTTAATTTACAAAGAAACCTGGATTGCTAGTGATGGATCTTAAAATGGAGCATAACACAGTTGAGGATCATAAAGTCTCCTGCCATTGAGGGTGCAATATGTGTCTCAAAATCACAAACACAGTGATAGCAAGGGAGCTCATGGCCTAGTTAACTGGTTATTCCCGAGTCAGGCCAATTGGTCGTGCGTCAAAATGCCTTCTGCTGCTGAAGAGATCAAGGAGGGGCGAAAGATGGCATCTGGCTTTAATGCACTTCTGCATCGCCACAGCAGCTTAAAAATCAAGGCAGAAAAAGTCAAACTTTTAGACATAAATATTGGAAAACTGCATGGGTGAAAATTGTGACTGGAAGACATTATTATTATATTTTTTTATAATTTTAAACATACATTCACAAACTATTGTGCACATATGGTCAGTGAAGTATATCCATGAAAATATTCAGGGGATTTTGTTAAACTCTGCCTGGACTCTCTTCTTCACCTCTTTACCATTCCCCATTTTCCTGGACAGTGGACCCCAAGTACTTGAAGTCCTGCACCTTTGTGACCTCCTTTCCTTGTAGCCTCACTGTTCCACCGGCTTCCCTCTCATTCACACACAAGTACTCCGTCTTACTACGTCTGACTTTCATTCCTCTTCTTTCAAGTGCATACCTCCACCTCTCCAAGTTCTCTTCCACTTGTTCTCGCCACAGATCACAATGTCATCTGCAAACAAAATACTCCACAGGGATTCCTGCCTGACCTCATCTGTTAGTCGGTCCATCACCAGATCCAACAGGAAGGGTCTCAGAGCCGATCCTTGTTGCACTCCCACCTCCACCTTGAAGCTATCTGTCACTCCTACAGCACATCTCACCACTGTCCTGCTGTCCTCATACATGTCCCGTACCAGTCTAACATGTCTTGCTGTCCTCATACAGTACATGTACTGGGATCTGAGTAGTGAATTTTATTTTCTTGTGTTTTTCTTGACTGGAACTGAACAGGGTATGTAAATAAACCTTAATGTTTGTGGTGCAAGAGGGTAGGACATACAATGTATATGAGAAGAGTGGTAGTTATTCATTTATTTATTCTTCTGGTCCGAGGCAGCGCAAAATGATGGATCCTGGTGAGTGGAGGGAGCAGTTTTATCTTCCACCAGGAGCCAGGGGGTGGCCAGCGGTGGCCTTAGCCCCCATAATCTTTGATCACCCCAAGAGATTCTTCAATCATTTTAGGAAAATATACATTTATGCAATACAAAAACAAGAAATCATAGTTACCTCTAAACATTGGGGTGATTTGTTTACATATATAAAGTGTATATATATGTATATATATATATATATATATATATATATATATATATATATATATATATATATATATGGTGGTGGGCTGGCCATCTTGAATTTTGACATGGCAACTCAGTTCACGACAGTGACCTTTCGTATGCTTAGATGCAGCCACACACCAAAATGAAAGTTGGCACGTTATTTATTTTCAAGTTATCCAACTCACAACCGTGGACATTTATGGTGAATGCCATCTTGGTTTTTGCAACCTGATTTTCAAAATGAGCCTTTCTTTCTAGATATAGCCACACACTTAAATGGACTTATCTGACTTCTTGTTTTGTATTGAACGTGTTTTGAATTTGTCCTGATTAGGTTTCACTTTTCATCCAGACGATTTGTTTCTTCAGTTTTAACTTACTGCAGTTGAAACGTCCCAAACAGAAGAAACCCCTCAGATGGAAAGTGAACCGTTCTCATAAATCAATAAATAAAGGCCTGTTGTCTTTTGCATGAACACAACAAGCCCAGTGACTGGACGTGTGTTGCATGTTATTGTTAATATACACACACTGAATAATGAATGGTGAAGTATGCCCTTGAGCAAAGTCATACAAATTTTACAAAGCGTGTTCGATGGGCAGCAAGGTGGAGGACAAGTCAGTGAATATTAAACAGATTCAGTGGCTACATACTTCAGCCTTTGACCCTAACTCAACAGTTTCATTTTTATTCATGATTATTTAGCCTATTAAACTTTATTTCACAGCCACCCAAGTGACCCATGTCATGGATTGTTGAGTCAAAGACACTTTTAACAGCACAACATTTTTCAAGGTGAACATCAACGCACAAGAACTTAATTGTTTTGAACTCTTCACCAGAAATCCAAAACTTACTGACTTTGAAATGTCTCAAAGGACCAAAAGAAGCTGCATTCAGTTTAGACTATGTTGAATTTTTAAGAGGGTTTGGTTATCTCTGCTTGGAGTGACTGCTTCAAAACAACACACTTTACAAAACAGTTTCTCTCTTTTTCTATATTTATTAC